ATTCCTTTGGCAGATTCCAATTCCCTCTTTTCTTTTTCTTCATATACCCTTCTCCATCTCCATCTCCATCTCCATCCTGCAACCCAAACCCCATTGCTTAGAAACCAGATTTCTCTATTTCTAACTACCATGACTGCTTCTGGTGGGAGTTCCGCAGATGGGTATGTGATTTTTTTTATTTTTTATTTCTAGCCTTTCATTTGATATTTTTGGAGAAATTGGCATTTGATTCAACGTGGGTTGTTATTTTTTTTTTTCTGGTACCTGATCATCAAAATTTTATTGAATTTCATGATGGTTTTTTTATGGAAAAGGCATTGTTTTTGTTGGCCGGAGAAATCTTAACTTGAATTATTGCGTAATGCAGAGTGAGTTTGTTGTTTCAGTTTTCACTAATTAGATCGTTATTGCTCTCAGATTGAATGGATGGTTTTGTTATTTTATGGGATTATTAGTACTTGAATTGCAACGTAAATAATATCAAGTGAATGATAATTAGCAATTCATATGCAAGTTATTTTTCCTAGAAGTTGATTTCTGAGAGAAGAGAAATTACAGGAAAATAATTTTAGCATATGTGATTTATCAAGCGAAGGCGAGGCTTAATGGATGGTTTGGTCTTAATGCTTTGTTAAGAGAATTTGTACAATAAGGACACAACCTTTTAAAACCTTTCTAATTTCTAATTAAAGATATGACCCTTTTTTTTTTTTTTCTTATTAATTAGGCTACCACCTTTGGAACGTTTCTAATCAAAGATAGGACCTTTGCGATTTTGCTGAAGAGAGATTAAGTGGATGTGTGCAGTTATATTCTTAATTGGAAATTTTTTATAAGTGATAGTCTTGATTAGTAAAATCAAAAAGGTGATATGCTTGATTTAAGTTTTTTGAAAGGATGTAGTTTTGATTGGTAAAGAAAAAGGATCATATCCTTTATTAGAAAATTTTTGGAATGGTGTGTTCTTATTTTTACGAAATCTGACTTTATTAATCTTGAAGCTGCTGGGATGACCACCTTCATGATAAAAGATTTAGGAATTATGATATTTTACTTTTTATGGATGTAAAATTTTGGATCCTCATCTATTATCTATGTTGTTGATACTACATTGGACCTGTTGTCTTTGTTTCTGTAATTCAGCAAAAAATCTGTGTCCGATCTTGCTCCTTTAGAAGCTGTATTTTTTGATGTTGATGGAACTTTGTGTGATTCAGACCCCCTTCACCTTTATGCCTTTCAAGTAATGCTTCAAGAGGTAATTTCAAGCAACAACACATGGTTCTTTCAACTGTCATTTCTTTTTTATTTTATTTATCCTCCTTCACCATAAAGAAGTGCATGAAAGGTGTAGATGCTTTCATAAAAATGGTGAATGTGTTGAGAATGCAAGTATACTCTTGTTCTTCTTTAATTTGAAGATCATGCCCTTAATTAAATTTAAAATGTATGGGTAATTATATAGAGATTTGTTAATGTTGGGTCCTGGGGGTGATTCTGGTTTTAATAATGCCATCCCAATTACAGAGGAATTTTTTATTCAAAATATTGCTCTTTACTAATTCTGGGGCTGATTAAGAGATTGGTTTTAATAATGCCATCCCAATTACAGACCAATTTTTTATTCAAAGTATGGCTCTTTACTAATTCTGGGGGTGAATAACAGATTGGTTTTAATAACGGCGTCCCAATTACAGAGGAATTCTTTAGTCAAAATATTGCCGGGAAGCACAATGATGATATTGCTGAAGTTCTCTTCCCCACAGATGTTCCAAGGGGCTTGAAGTTCGTAGAGGATAAGGAAGCAATGTTTCGGAGGTAAAATGAATGTAGGTTTTTTGTTTAAAGAAAGAACTATGTTTTGCAAGCTGCTGAAGTTCCTTTTGTCTAATCTTTTGGATCAACAAACAGATTGGCCTCAGAGAAGTTGGAGGCTATAAATGGCTTGTATAAAGTGAAGAAATGGATTGAAGATCATGGATTGAAGCGGGCAGCTGTTACCAATGCTCCTAAACCAA